AATTTGGGAGATTAAAAAGCAAAAAAAAATTCAAAGTTGACAGCTGTGGGATTTGAACCCACGCCCTTTCGGACCAGAGCCTAAATCTGGCGCCTTAGACCACTCGGCCAAACTGTCGTTGTTGTAAATGTTGCTTAGGTATTTAATATGTATGTTCATGTTTATTTGTTGCAATTTGTAGTTATATTTATATATATTTAGGGTAAATTCCACTTGCCCCCTTGTACTTTGACTCGATATCGCTTTACCCCCTTCTACTCTCAATTGCATCGATTTGCCGCCTTGTACTTGAAAAAAATTCTCAATGTAGCACTCGCTGTTAGTTTTCAGACCTTTAACATTAACATCGTTTGATCTAAGTCTAAAAATTAAAAAAATAATCCTTCCCAGTTTAAATAATTATTAAAAAAATGAAAAAAATAAATTATGCCAGCCATCGTTGACTATGCTTTCTCGTTATATTGAATTGATTATTATTATTATTATTATTATTATTATTATTATTATTATTATTATTATTATTATTATTATTATTATTATTATTATTATTATTATTATTATAATAATAATTATTATTATTATTATTATTGTTATTATTATTATTATTATTATTATTATTATTATTATTATTATTATTATTATTATTATTATTATTATTATTATTATTATTATTATTATTATTATTATTAATTTGTTTTTTAATAATTATTTAAACTAGGATGGGTGACGGTTTGTAATTTCAGAGCTTAGACTAAACGGTGTTAAGATTAAATATTTGACAACTAACGGCGATGACCACATTGAGATAATTTTTCAAATAAACGGGGGCAAATTGATACAATCAATAGTAAAATGGAGTAAAATGATATCGAGCCAAAGTAAAGGGGAAACTGAAATTTACCTCTATATTTATACCGCTTATTTACTGCTATTTTGTTAACAAAAACTACTCTTATCGTATTTCTTTCTAATACCTATTATTCAAAGTTAATGCTCTACTAGGATGCTTTTTATGCATACATAAAAAACATATAATTAAGGGATCAAACAAAACAAGGTAAAAATTTAAAGTTTTTTTCCCAACTAACACCACAGATTTTGATTAAGCATGATCGTTTAAGGCAGGTTTAACTAACAAGCCTATTTCTTAATTCAAACATCTCCTTAATCACAAGTAGTACTTCAAAAAAAATAGGAAAAATATTACTGCAAATTATATTAATGGAATTTGTGGAAATTCAAGTTACAATAATTGATGGACACCAAATATTAAAAATAATATTTGGAATCCGAAATAAAACTCATGAAAATGAGTGCTCAAACTAAAATCCCCATAACCATAACCAAAAGTAAAAATTCAACGCCTAAAATTAATTTGGAGAGGAAGTGAGAGCACACCATCTCCAATGACAAATTTACCCCCACCGGAGGGCAACAGCCGGTAACCCCTAAAATCAACCAGCCCCAAACTCTTGCAAACATCCAACTCAAACCCAACCTTCACACTCCCACCACCGCCGCCGACAAACACCCGCTCGAAACCAACCAAATCCACAATCGGAGCCTCCGCGATCCCCTGCGGCGGAGACCAGTACACCATCACCACATCACTCCCATCTCTCTCACCCACATTCTTCACCTCAATCTCCAGCTTCACCTTATAGTCGCCGCATGAAGATTTCAAATCCTCGATCAAGATCGCAGGGCAAGGCGGCTTGTACGAGCCCTCCGTGTAGTTCAAGTCCCGGCAGTGCTGGAACTTGTTCAACTTTACGTTCACCGTTTTCGTGGATGAAACGAGCTTGTATGTGAAGTTGGTGTAGCTTAGCCCGAACCCGAACGGGTACACCGTGGGCCCGTCGTAGAACTTGTACGTCCTCCCCGGATAATCCAAGCTCTCGATCGGCCTCAGGCGCATCGATGTCAAAGGTAACATGTCGGTGTAGTTTGTGTAGAACCATGTCAAAGGTAATCTCCCACCTATTTATTTTATATCAAATGTCAATTTTTTTTCTCATATATTATAAGGGTTTATTGCAATTAGTACACATATGTTATATTGTTAAAAAACCACTCCATGTTATTTTATTGGCAAAAACCCCCCTTGGGGGTTTTGCTAATATATATAATATGGAGGGTTTTTTTAGCATTTTAATATAATTAGAGTTACTAAATGCAATAAAATATATTATACAAACTTAGGTAAATTATAAATCAAGAATGTAAGAATATGATAGGATATGTTAATATATATATATGTACCAGGATTGGCTTTTCCAAAGACAATATCTGCAATAGCATGGCCACCTTCTTCTCCAGGATATCCAGCCCAAATGATTGATTGGATATTCGGATCGTCTTTGGCGAATGAAATGTCGACACCACCAGCCGACATTATGACGAGAATCACGGGGCCTTTGGATTGGCTTGATACTTGTTGGATCAGTTGTTGTTGGTAACCTGGCAATAGCAAATCTGTCCTGTCCAAACTCTCCGCCTCGACAGTCAAATCCAATCCGACCACTAATACGGTGGCATCGGCTTTCTTTGCAGCTCGAACAGCCGGAAATATCAACGACTCGTTCTTGCAGAACACTTCTCCGCACCCCGTTTCGTATTTCACTTTCCCGTATTTGGAGAATCCGTCAATCGGAGACGTAAACCGGCACGGAACGCCTGAGAAAGAAAAAAAAATAATTAATATATATTTTTTTTATTACAATATCCGAAACAACCTTAAAATGATGTGATCGAATGAGCACCTGCGTAGTTTCCGATCATGGCTGAGGTGGCATTAGCATGTGGGCCCACAACTGCTATGGTCTTGATCTTGTTTGATTTCAGAGGAAGAGTTTGGTTTGCGTTCTTGAGGAGAACGATTCCTTGTCGTGCTGCTTCGGTTGCTAATTCGATATTTTCGTGGGAGCAGATATCGGATTTTCCGAGCTTTTCGTATTTAGGGCTACCGTCGAAGAATCCGAGCCTCATGAGCACATTGTAGAGGTTTTTTAAGGCACTATCTAATTCTGCTTCTTTAACTTTGCCCATCCTCACTGAGGTGTTGGCATAGTTAGGGTAGTAATACCCACAGTCCAAGTCCAAGCCTGTAATTAATTAATTAATAATACTAATATTAATTAACAATAGTACTAATATTAATTAACACATAAATAAACATATTATTAAGATGTAAAAGTGCAACTAGCCTGCTTTTAGGGTTTGGGCAACGGCATCAACGGGCTCGTCGTTGAGCCACTTTTGAGCATCGAGCATCACGTCAATCGAATCACAATCCGAAACAATGTATCTGATCCATCATAAATTAATCCACAACGAATTTGATCAGATCAGATCGTCTCTCTCAAGATCAATATATGTTTTTAATGATTAATTAACGAACTTATTTAATTAGTACTATAATATATTACCCCCGAAGATTCCATTCCCCTCGGATAGTATCTTTCAAAAGCCTAGGATCAGCACATGCTGGAATCCCATTGATTTTGTTGTAAGAGCACATAACACTCGACACATCGCCCTCTTTCACGCACATCTCAAACGGCCTTTGAAACGTCTCCATCATATCTTGCTCCGTCACCTTCAAATCGAAAAATAAGTCAAATTAAGAGAGAGAGAGAGAGAGAGAGAGAGAGAGAGAGAGAGAGAGAGAGAGAGAGAGAGAGAGAGAGTTTAGATTTATATACTATGGCATCAAAATGGTATCGATCGACTCCGAGCCAGTTGTCGACATCGTAAGCAGCGTAGTGCTTGCAACAGGCCGAAACTTTGAGGGGCCTAGAGTCGAGATCCGCGACTTCATCGTCTTCGGTACTTCCTTCAACATCTTGCAAACCTCTAACATAGTTGACGGCATATCGTCCGGCAACGAAAGGATCTTCGCCAGGTGTCTCGAGCGCTCTTCCCCACCTTGGATCTCTCACCACGTTTATATTAGGGCTCCAAAATGTCAACCCTGCATGCCCTAGATTGTACATTGCTCTTGCCTCCGTCGAAACAGCCTTCATAATTTATACATATATGTCAATAATTATTTAATTAAATATATCCATAATAATTAAATGTTATATATATAAATATTTTTTAAAAGTTCATTTTTTTCTTACCTGGCCGATCTTCTTCCATAGGGACTGGTTGAAGGTGGCGCTGGTTAGAATAACGGTCGGAAAGCTGGTGGCGCCAGGGATGACGTCATCGAAGTGGGTGACGTGGTTGCCGGCTTGGCCGACGTCGGAAACGCCGTGTAGGGCCTCCGACCACCACTCGTACTTCGGGAGGCCGATTCGCGGGACACCCAACGCGGTGTCTCCGATTTGGCCGGCTTTCTCGTCGAGGGTCATTCGGTCGATCAAATCCTTAACCCTAACCTCGTACGAGAGAGATTTATCGCAGAACGAGAATTCATCCATGTCCAGCCCGAGGTCGGAGAATCTCTGCGGGTCGCAGACATGGGTGTAGTTTCTGGTGGTGGTGATGTTCGAGTCGTCGATGCCGAAAGTTGACGGCGGCGCGTGTCTTGCAGACGCGGCGGAATTGAGCAGGAATGCTGCTGTAGCTACAGCTAGTACGAGGAAACAAAGTTTATTAGAAACCATTGTGTTTGTTTTTTTAATTTGGAGAAGATGACTGAATGATTGTTTTGTATACTTTTGTGCTTGGTGTACACACATATATATATAGTGTGGCAGCTGAAGAGCATTTACGTACTTATCTTAACGGTTTTCCGAAAATGGATATTTTTATCCCTGAAAATATGAAGATCTCTTTCGGTTACTCAGACAAAATCAAAGTTGGGATAATTTGAGTTCACTATTAAAAACTTATGGACGATATTGCCCTTCAGATATTCAACAGTCAACACTCCGAGTTAGTGATTAAACAAATTAAATTATTATGATATGATATTTTCTTTTTTGACTCATAATTTATATTCTTAAAATGTAAATATTAATTTTCTGTATTCTTTTATGATTTTCAATTTATTTCTAATTATGGTTTATATATATCCATTTCATTATCAGATTTGGTCTTACACTCTTATCCGAAGTTTTAGCACTGATTAAGGCTTAATTCAAAAAAATGACTAAAACAGGTAATTATTAATTCTGTTATTAAAAAGGTAACTAATCGTTTTATTCTTTTATTACCTGGGTGTTGCTAAATTTGGTACAAGAAATCAAATATACGGTCATGACCATTGAGTGCAATAAAGTACACGTGGATACCATTCTTGTCAGATCACATCGTACAATGTTATTACATAAATCCGTTTCATAACATGATTCAAATATCAATCCGAATAATTAATTTATAAAATAATAATTAATTAGATCTAATCTGTTGGACTATTATAATCCAAACCCAATAGTCCCCAACGAGCCCATTAAATACGGGCTTCAAATAATACGGGCTTTTAATTTGGGCTTCAACTAATGCGGGCTTTTAATTTGGGCTTCAAATAAGCGTGGCAACAAAGTAAGAGAGAGAAAACAAGTGAAAATGAATAGAGAGAGAAACAGATTCAGAGAGAGAGAGAGAGAGATGGGAATGGAGAGACTGCGAGAATTGACGCCAATTGTGAAGGAAGCACTGCAGAATACCGCACGAGTAGCGAATTTCTTCTGTCTTCTCCACTTCACCGGCGCATATATGTGCACCGTCGCTAAAGTACGCCATTCTCTCTTCATGTACTAATTGATCGGCGATTTTTTTTTTAAATCCTGTTCCGTATTTGCAGCTTGTGGGTCCCAGTATGCTTCCGACGTTCAACGACGGTAACTTAGTGTTGACGGAAAGGATAACGACCCGTTCGGAGAAAGTCGGGTCGGGCGACGTGGTGCTCGTACGGGCGCCCGATGACCCGAGAAAGGTTGTCGCCAAGAGGGTTAAGGGTGTTGAAGGCGACGTCGTTTCGTACCTGTTGGACCCCAAAAAAACTGATGAACTCAACACTGTTGTCGTAATTGCTCCTCCCAAACTCTTTTCCTTTTTGTCTTCCTTGCAATTGTAAACAAAAAATTAATAATTATTGCATGATTTTGACTTATCAAGCAGCTGATGTTATGTTTTCTCCTACAATGTTGGATGATTGGGGTTTAGGGTTTTGCAGATATTCCTTTAATCTATTTTGATCGATTTGCTCATAACATTATACATTTATACTTGAACAAATTGGAGTAGAAATTATTCGAGATTTTTCGACTTTCAGGTACCAAAGGGGCATATTTGGATCGAAGGGGATAACGCACACAACAGTCACGATTCAAGACAATTTGGTCCGGTCCCGTACGCACTTCTACATTCCCGAGTTTTCTTTGTGGTAAGCTGTTCGACTTTCGTCTATCGCATTCGGACATATTTTTTTGCCTTTGAATAACAAGCCTCACTTGTACTCCACTCGATTTGCATGTCGCATACATCAATCGTTTTAGTACGGATAAACTTAGCCTCGTGGACCATTATCTACAGGTATGGCCACCTGCGGATTTCAGATCAGTTGGCAACAAGGTTCTTCGATTTTAACTTGTAGGTATACACTTGCGGAGCACTTTATACGGCTTAATATGTTTCGTAAAGCATTTCCAAGTTGACCTTTTTTCGTTTAAGCCTTTGACAAAATTGCTTGTTGTGTGGCCGATGAAGATTTTACCGAGCCACCTTTGACACTGTCTTGATGAAAATATGATTAACTGAACAAGCATCTTTTGTTGTTTCCACGCAGTTATGACAGTTCGGCTATCAGCATTTATTTACGCCTGTAGAATTCTTACATATACTCGATTGCTCGAAATTCGGGTGATCTCGATATTTTGTTGCTGTTGCTTCTAAAATTTTGGGATCTTTTTTTTTTTACCTGAAAAATTATTTTCGTTCGGTTGAAATTAAATGTACATGTTTTTGCTAATCGAGCTGAAATATTTTTATCGGTGAGAACGATTTTACTATATATATATAAATTCGAATTTTGAATAACTATAACAGAGAATAATTTACAACAAATCAACAGCTGCCATATATTGACTAACTTTGGAAATATTTCAAAACAAGTTTCAAGTAATGCTGCTATATGTACAAATAAAGGCAGACAGAGGCAATCTTGCGGCTGCTCTCTCTCTCTCTCTCTCTCTCTCTCTCTCTCTCTCTCTCTCTCTCTCTCTCTCTCTCTCTCTCTCTCTCTCTCTCTCTCTCTCTCTCTCTCTCTCTCATGGAAGATGATATCAGATCAGATGGGGCTTGCTCTTGAAACCTGGGCACAATTTTTGTTTGTCAGCAAGTATGAATCAACTGTGACACTTTTCGAATATGCAATTCTAACAAAATAAAATATTTCAAAAACAAATAAAATCGAGATTAGAGAGACGAAGAAGCAATAGAACCTGATTCTGCACGCTAGTTGCAGCGGTCCATCGCTGCGGATGAGTCGCTACTGGAACATCACTCATGAAGGTTATAGTTCTAGATTCTTCTTGTCTGTTGCTCTTCACAACTGGAGGTGGTAATTCTCTCATCACAAACAATACAAAGGCTGAAGGCACTGACGTACCTGGAACAACAATTCGTCGAAACACATTCGAATCGAAAGACAAATTATTTCCAAGTATTAATGATTAAATAAAATAATTAATAAATTAATAAGAACTACCTATGAAATAATACACAACCAGTAGAAGGGAGGTGTAGACACCATTTATCTGCTGTTCATGCCAGTGATAAAACAACTGCAGTGTGAAGATCGTTATTATCGTTAAAAAAACTTTAAACATTAATAAATAAATAATCGAAGCAATCATGTAATAAAATTAGCAAGCAAGACGAGCTTACGGGTATGTTTGTAGTTATTGCAACCAAAGCACTTGATGTAAAACTAACAACAGAGACAATGGCCAAACCAGCAACCTGTAGTACAATTCATTTTAGTTATTTTACATTGTTTTTTTAATAACTAATTACGTAAAGAGTCGAAGATAAAATTATACCTTTCGCATTTCAGATGAAACCTGCTCGGATCTCACTTTTCTCATTTTCAAGAACAATACGAGTCCTGAATACCAAACATAATAGATGAAAACAAATTAGGATAACAAGTTACAACTAAATTGAGAAGCAAAAATTTAAAGAGGTTTTTCGTAGATGACTCACCATAGCATGCCAAGGCTCCTCCCAGAATAAGAACAACTACGGCTATGAAATCTACGTATACCTGAAAGATAGTTACAAACCACTTAGTTATGTATATATATATATATATATATATATATATATATATATATATATATATAATGGAATAAATAACATGTGCCATTAAAAAGTACATACCTGAGCAACGACTGCAGAATCGAGAGGACTCTTTCTTGTACCAATCCACATCAGCATGGAAGATGCCATCATTATTCCAAATACTAAAATAGAAACCTGGTGAAACATTTAGTTATCCAATTAAGATTAAAAAAAATGAAAATAAGGCACATAATATAATAATTCCGGGATTAAGTAGACTGTCACGCCGGCGAAATAAACGTTACCAGAATCACAATTTTTTGACGGCTGCCTACACTGATTGACCGAAATGTGCAACATCTTCGGCAACTATAGGACTTAGAATCGGTTCTATTCATCTTTTCCAGCAGTGCTTCTTGTGGGCTCCACCCTTCCTCTTCATCATCGTCGTGTGAGTGATGACAAAGGTCAACCCTGCAAAATTAATTATTTATTAATTTATTTAATAAAGCATACACGTAGAAATATAAGTCTTGATTTGTAAAATTAAAAAAAAAAAAAAGTTACCAGAAGGACAAGAGTAGAAGAAATGCTGCAACAAACAGAATTTTGGGGAAGGCTGCATAAGTAGCAAAATATCTCTGTCAAACATATGATCGTGGGCACGGAATATTTTTATGCACACAATAAACATGCAGTAAATTTTACGTACCCATGGCAATAAAACCACAGGAATGTGACCAGCAACTCCAACCCTTACAAGCAGCAACTAGAGTTAACACAAAATAAAGGAAATAACCTGCGGACGGAAATTTCAATTAATTCAATGAGATTATCCAAAGCCGAAACTGAGAAGCTTTTCGACAACGTTATATGGAAGCTAGTAATATGCTCACCCAGATTGGAGGATCCGATCATTAGATGGAAGACCTGAAAGCGAAAGAAAACATTTTTTTATCAGATAACATCCAAATAAAATAAAATAAATACCAGACAATAGAGCCAATACAATATTTTATCGTTTCTAATATCAATTAACTGAAAGGAATCACGTAAAAGCTAGTGTCTGTTTTTAAAGAGGCCTTTATTATCCCACTTAATGCAATAAATTAATTTTTTTGGCCAAAAAAAAAGAGAAAAAAAGCTAGTGTTCGTTTTATTGCATCGATTTTGACCAAACAGTTACATATCAGTCGAGGCAAGGAACAAGTGCGAAAATGTTTACCTTTTGACGCGTCCATCCAAGCTGTGAATTCCTTGAATGAATTCTGATCAACTGGTGAAATGAGAATGAAAGAGGCAGTTAAGGAAAAAAAACACCTAATAAACATTTCTACGTCATTCTACATATCACATCCTATATATTACAGAACATATATACGCATCAAATTTACATACTAATCAAGAACATAAGCAACAACAAAACATATTAAGCAACTGGCCAAAATTACGGAACAAAAATATCAGACTTTGAAGTGTTTCGTAATGATTACACCAGCAACTTCACAAGGAACTAGATACAAGTTTTTGCAACTCAGTCGTAGATGATGGATATACTATTTGAATTAATTTGCAAGTGTAATTGGCGGCGTAAAGTTTCCTTACATAACTCCACATTTTCGCACATAGAAGAATGTATATTTACCAAAAAAAAAAATAAAAAAAAAATCGGACTGTGGTCAAGAATCACGTGAGAGGCAACACCAAATTAGTAGCCCTGGAAATCACATTTAAGAACAGCCACAGCATTATTTTCGTGGTATTTTGACACCTAATGCCACGTGTGAAAACACCTAATGTACTTTGACAGCTGTAACAACAATCCTTGAGCTATTTTGGCATCTATCTCATTGCAAAACCACCGAAAAAAGATAAGCTTTAGCGAGAATCTTCACCAATAAAACTTATCGGATACAATGGCTTCCAAAACTCATCCATGAAACTTATCATATGTCGCCACACATTTCAATGTTTTACTCTTTGATAGAATTTCAAGGACGGCATAAAACTCAAGAGAACGAAACGGTAGGAAAGAATCAGTAATTAAATTATCTTCAAAAACTGAATTATAGTAAATCCTATTCAAATTTTGGAACATAAGAATATTTATAGTTCCGACACAACCACGAACTTTTTGCAGCAGCCCGTTCTTCGTTATTAGGGGGTTGTGATTTGTCATTTGTGAATGAGCCTCGGTTACACTTGCGCATAATGCGATTAGAATTGCTCAATGTTTTCGCCCAATTTGCCATTCATTATGACCAAATTAAGCCCTAAATTCATAATCACAGCATCTAAACATAAAGAAAATACTGAAATTGAGAAATGAAGAAAGAATACCTGATAGAAAGCAAGAAATGCAATCACACAATCAACAAAAGCCAGACCCACATTCACTCCCACCACCGAATCCGGATAGCACCTCTTCCCCTCTCTTACTTCCAACATTTTTTTCTCTCTCTCTCTCTCTATATCTCTCTCTCTCTCTCTCTCTCTATCTCTCTCTCTTTCTTTTACACCATTCAACACACACATACACACACACGGAGTGTGTGTTCGTATCGAATCGGTATTCCCAAGGGTCAATGCAAGACTGGATTTTGTAGAGTGATTCTATGCTTCTATGCGTACAGCTGTATTCCGACTCTGTGTGTGTGTGTGTGTTTAATTGCAAACGTAATTGTTTATCCTCGTTGAGAACTAAGCAATTAGGAAAGAAGGAATGGCGATGCCGCAAAAAGTATCTACAAGGATAGCCTCTCTCTCTCTCTCTCTCTCTCTCTCTCTCTCTCTCTCTCTTCTTTCTCTCTCTTGTCAGAACTTTCTATGGTAACTTGATAGTTTCGAAAGTACTCGACAGATCTGCTTGTGGATTCCCCCACACCCTCTCCACCCTTTTCCTTTTATACAGTTTCTCTCTCTCTCTCTCTCTCTCAAACATCAAAATCAATTTGCCTCTCGCTCTCTGTATGTGTGTGTAATGTGTATCTATCTACACCTGTTTTTGAGATTGTCAGCCGTAGAATTAATTTTATTTATTTATTGTGTTTACTATTTAGACTTTTTATTTTAATTGTATTTAGAATTGACCAAAACAATGAGTCGTCTCGCAAAATGTTATAATATTTGATATTTCAGACACGTATCAATGTCGATTTAACATTTTAGGCTTCCTAATATAAAATTTAAAATTTTATTTTACTATTGTAATAAAAATTTGTTGTAATAGTAAATCCACATAACAACATTGTAAATTATAAATGCTATGATGCTAACATAACATGTATTCATAATTGCAATTATACAAATTATTTTCATCTTTTTGAATAATGAAAAATATATTAATGTATGTTAGTAAATAATCTTTTTCACTAAAAATTATGAAACTCATTTTTTAAGTCTTTGAATTCAGTAAAGAAAATGACATGGAAGAGATCCAATGACTCTCTATGTTTTTTTTTTAAATTAAGAAAATTGTTCGTATATACGGAGATTACACTAAATTTGACACTGCAATGGAGAACGTGTAAAAATATTCATAGTCGAGGAAATAGATGTAATTACCTAAGTATATGGGGATTTTTCTTAATTTGACAATTTATCTCAGTATTTAAGTGCATCAATGATGTATCTCTATAATCATTTTTTTTTTCTTTTGTCCAAGCTATTAGTGAAACAGCTGCAATAAACTTGTCTTTTATTCCAAATAATAATAATAATAATAATAATAATAATAATAATAATAATAATATGCTTTACTTTTTTCTGTATGTACTACTATTTTATAATTTTTATTTTCATCACCCAAACCGCAATACATATAATATTGATACACATATACAGGAGAGAGTAAAAAAATTAATTTTCATGTTTGATCGATCGAGAGAAAAACTGTATAAAAGGAAAGAGTGTGAGAGGGTGCCTGGGAAATCCGCCAAATCTTTAGAGATTACCTTGTAGATACTTATAATTAATGCTGCACCACCATTATTTCTTTCCTTCCTTAAAAAAAAAATTTAAAATTAAAACACATGAGATTATTCCTTATATAAAGAAGAAGAATTAGAAGAAAAGAAGAAGAAGAAGAAGAAGAAGCAGCAGAAGAAGAAGAAACAAAAACTATATTAAAAAAAAATAATAATAATTCTCTGCAGGCAGCCATGGTAAACAAAACAGTAGTAGTAAGTAATATCAAGAAAAAGAAAACAATGGGGAGAAGGAAGATTGAGATTAAAAAAATCGAGAAGAAAAGCAGCCTGCAAGTAACATTCACCAAACGCAGGATGGGGCTTTTCCGTAAAGCCAGCGAACTCAGCATTCTCTGCGGTGCCGAAATCGCCATCCTCGTCCAATCTCCTGCTGACAAGATTTTCTCATACGGCCACCCCTCCGTCGAGGCCTTGGTCAACCGCTTGCTCCACCACAACGGCGGCGGCGCGTTTCCCTCACACGAGTTGGTCGCGAGTAGTAGTAGTAGTACTACCAGATCGTACTCGCTCCAGCGTCAGATTGTCCCTTGGCAGGAAGACGGCAGAATTAAGTACGAGGAAGCTTTAAGGAAATTGGAATTCGAAAAGCTATCGATACAGAAGCATGAGATCATGAGTACTAGTATGGATTTCTGGTGGGACAAATCCATTGATCAATTCACGGAACTGCACGAACTTGAGGAATTTGTCCAAGCACTCGAAGCTCTGAAAAATAATGTCTCGTGCAAATTGGAGGAGATGGCCAAACACAAACTGCAGCCCGATTTCGCTTCTTCCTCTAACAACTTCTTCGATCATCATAATTACCATGGTGGTGTATTTCCACTCCCGGCGATTAATCATCAAGATTTTTATGTAAGTAATTTACCATGACTTGTATAATTATATTTGGGTTTCAATTTTAGGGTTTCAATTTAAGGGTTTTTTAATTAGGGTTTATGAACAGCTTCAAATTTGTCTGTTTTTTCAATTTTAGGGTTTTTTTAATTAGGGTTTATGAACAACTTCAAAATTTTGACAAGTAATTGAAACTATAATGACATGTTCCATCAATAAATTCAGACATTAACATGAACTGATTCTTTTAATGATATTCATTAAAAGTACAATATTCAATTTATTATCTCTTGCAACATTAATTCTTGGAAATTAATTTCAATTATATATAATTATTTATAATTGATCTTTTTATTTTCTACATGATTTCGCAGGGGGGCAAGAGCGAATTCGAAATCTTGAAAGTGAAGGGTAGTGCTGCTGAAGATGTTATTTGTAATAATGCACAGATGGAGAAAGGCAGTATTAATATTATTGGTGGTTCGTGTTTGTCGTCAGATTATAACGTGACCAATAATCGAAGTGATGATGACGATGATGCTATGATAAATTACGATGATTTATTTGCTGATCAAGATCCAACCCTAGACTTTTGATACATCTCTGATCATTCTTGCTTTGATCATTCTTGCTTGTTTCATGATTTTTAATGAGATATACGAACATGCCGTATAAATTATATAGTATAGGCTAACTATGTTTTTTTTTTTATTTGGTTGTCTTATGAGCCAGTGAAATCATGTGGTCACATGGTATATAATATATATCACATACTTTTTCTGAATATTATTGAGTTCATGCAGCTTGTTCTCCAGTTAATTACTGTTTAATTATATAAACTGAATGTATATATATTGAATTAATTATATATAAAGTTGCAATCCATGTTAATTCTAGTGTTACGTATACATACAGAACAGGTCATTTATGAATTTGGAACAAGATCATTTCTTTGTTCCATGTTCTTTATTAAACTCAGGCCTAAAAAAGTTATACTATACTACCAAATAAAAAAAAAAAAACAGCAGAAAAATATAGAGGAATATACAAAATTAAAAAAGAATTAGTCCTAATGGATAATTAAGTAGTTGGCCTACCGTACGTGCCATTGTAAATATACTTAAGATGGGTGTAACATTTTAATTTATCTTAAGACATGGAGCTCAGGAGCTGTAGGAGAGACAATAAATATATGCTTCCTTCTTATTTAATGCTAAAAGCAACACACACACACACATATATATATATATATATATATATATATATATATATATATATATATATATATATATACATACCCGACAATTAATTAATTAATTAAAGTCGTTCCAACTAAGATTTTATTTAAAAAATTGGTATATATTAAGCTGGCTATGATGGTGTAACACACATTGTAGACCAATTAATTAATTAAGTAAATATATTTGAAAGATTAAAGACAGATGGGACTTAAGAAAAAGTTAGTTAAATGGCAAAATGTGTCTTGTGGGGGCATTAATTATTTTTGCTGTCTACCAAATTTTATGAACAATTTCATTTGTTCTAATTGCTGGCATAAATTGTGACATCAAACCAGTGTAATATATATATATATATGCAAGCATGATTATTCTTGAGTAGGACGTGTGGCTGAATAAGTTATGTACGTTGAGTTCTCCAGCTTTTGTGGAATAATATATTTATTCAAAAGTAACGCGAATTCCTACAATTTTTTTATCTCAATATATATTCATTTGTTACTTTTGAGGCATTTATATATATTCTCTTTGATTTGATTTTATTATCCCCAAAATAAAGCTACAATCTGAAATGAATATTTGAAAGTGCTTTCAGTAGTAAAAGTGATTCTGCCCACCCAGCTATTCAACTTCAACCTTCATTATGTGTTCGAATTTTTATATCTCATGATTGGGTGAGTGAAAGCTTTGGCTTTTAGCCTTTTCCTAAAACAAAAAAAAGTTGAAAAAAAAAAAAAAATATATATATATATATATATATATAATTAGATATGAAAATTAAAAAAAAAAAAAGTTTCTTAGTGGAGATTTATATTTCTTTACTTAATTTGTCGATTTTGCTTGGATTCTGTTAACATATTTTTATCCCTAAATCCCATTGTATAGTTATATATTAATAATTGCAAATCTTGTGTTTCCATGAATAGAAGTTCAAAGTAATTAATCGATTTTTGTTTTCCTTTTATTTATACTAGTACTTCACCCGTGCGTTGCACGGATATGAGTTTCAAAATGAGAAAAATAATAATATTTAAACGATTATCTTTTTATAACAACACCAATTGAAGTAAAACAAAATAGAAGGAAATAAAAAAATATCTCTTAATTCAGAGTTGTAACATATAAAATTCAATTAAATATTACAAAGAAAAATACGCGAATGGCGCAAATCACGATATGAAGATTAAGTAAAATAATTTAAAACATATGGTATAACTCTATTTCATGGAATGCAATCTACTACACTATGTGATCCTCTGCAAAATAACTAACTTAACAACAAACACAGTAGCATAGAGGTAGCACAATAGATACTCAAATAACCTGCAAGTTATCACTAACTACATTCAATT